CGGTGCTGAGCCCAGGTTTCCAATCCTAACAACTCAGGACACATTAACTGGAGCTGGCAGGGTCCCATGATTCTGTGGACTCTGTGGCAACAGCGTGTCCCTGTTCAGTCCCTGTGGTCCTGGAAGGGGGTGACTCTGTCCTGGGGTGGCCCCATGACCCGAGCTCATTCCCTGGTGGCCTCTGTCTTGGGCCTGTGCCTCCAGAGGTGGCCCTTGAGGCTCTCGTCCACCGGGTCGTCTTTATAAGTGACGCTCTCGGGAGTGGGCGGGTCCTCTTGTGACCCAGTTAATTTTCCACCTTTAGTCTCATTGAACCACATCTCACCCTCCTGGTATCTCTCTGGCAGAGCCGGGCTCGGAGCCTCCTTGCCCACCCCCTGGGACTTGGCCATGAGAGGCTGGTCCCCAGGCCCCTCTCCTGAGGTGGGAAGGGGGCAGCAGTCCCCAGGGTTGATCTGGGCGTCCTGGGGGCCAGACCACAGGCCCCCGCAGCCCCTGGACGGAGGGAACAGGCTTGCAGGTGAGGGAAGGAGGTGGCCCACGGTCCTTCCTTTCCCTTTTTAATTACACTTTATTTTTTAGAGCAATTTTAGGTTTAAAGAGAAATGGACGTCTGGCATGAGTGCGCTGCATCTACTACAGCTGATAAACCAGTGTCAGTGCAGAATCGACCCAAGTCTGTCACCGACATTTGGGTCACTTTGTGTTGCTGTGGGCACACGTGTAATGTCAGCTCTGCACCATTATTACATCATACAGAATAGCTTCACTGCCCTAAAAATTCCCTGATGTTTCACCACTTCATCTCTCCCCACCCTTGTGCCTCTGATCATCTTCCTTTCTCTGTACTCTGCTTTGCCATATTAAGACAATAATTCCTGTTTTTTAATATTAGTGTCAGCATGTTGTATCTTTCTCTATCCTTATACTCTTAAACTAACTGTGTCTTTATAGTTAAAGTGAGTTTCTTGTAGACAGCGTGTAATTGGGTCTTGTTTTTTTATCCACTCATTCTCTGTCTTTTTATTTGTGTATTTATACCATTGACCTTTAAAGTGGTTATCAATATATCTACATTAATACCTACCATATGTATTACTGCTTTGTCTTAGGTGCCCTTTTTTTCTCTGTAACCTTTTTCCTGTCTTTTGTGGTTTTAGTGGAGCAATTTGTTTCCATTCTATCTTCTCTCTTAGCATATCAATAATACTCCTTTTTAAATTATTTAATAGTTGCCTTTGAATTTGCAGAATACATTTGCAATGGGTCCAAGACCATGTGTATCACTGGTGTCCCCAGAGTCCACTTTGCCGAGCCTAACTTACTAATTATGGCTTGAATTATGTTCTCCCAGAATTCAAATACTGGGGTGTTAACACTCAGTACCTCAGAATCTCAGAATGTGACTTTGCAAAACGTCTTCACAGATATAATTAAGTTAGAATGAGGTCATTTGGATGGGCCTTAATCCATTATGACAGCATCCTTCTAAGAGGGAATTTGGACACAGACACACATAGAGGGAAGATGAAAAGAAAATATACAGGAAGAGGATGACAATCTTCAAGCCAAGGAAGGAGGCCTGGAGCAAATTCTCTCCCGTAATTCTCAGAAGGAACAAATCTTGTCAACACCCTGATTTAGATTTCTGGCTTCCAGAACTCTGAGACAATAAGTTTATGTTGTCTACAGCCACCTCAGGAAACTGATACGGAAGAGAAGGTAAGGAATGTGTTGACCAGAAGGAGAAGGAAGAGGTGGCCATGGTGAGGCAAGCAAAAGTATGGTGTGTGCATGTGTGAATATGAGTGTGTGTATGTGTACACAAGTGTGTGCACATGTGCTTGTGGGTGTGTGCGTGCACGTGTGTTCTGACGACCCAGGTTCGTCTTAACCCCAACTGCAGGGTTGACTACAGAGACATTTCAGCACACCTGTGGGCCCACAACACCTACCACAGCACAGGCACCGCTGGTCCCTTGGCCCCTCGTTGCGAGGTCACTGCTACTGTGCATGGTTATTTCTAGCCTCCACCCCTAATGCAGCTGAGTGAGGGGACCCAGGCCTCTCGCTCCAGGTGGAACTCACATGCTCTTGTCATCTTTCCTCTTGGGCTTCTTCACTTGGAAAGTGGCTCCTGGAAGACACAGAGGGTCTGGCTTTCAGCAGTCTGTATCGAATGGCTCAATGGATGAATACTAAAATGAATGAATGAAAGGGAACCAAATTGGTGGAGCCACTGCTGGGATGCGTTCTGGGGTCATACACAGCTTGGAAAGAGAGATGCCCCAAGTCATGCAAATAGGATAAAATGTACTAGTCCAATTGCTTGGGGCCTGAGAATTATAGACAAGATGTTATGTTCTTAGGATGATGTAAGTCTGGCTTCATCCACAGGGTTGGGAGGTGATAAGCACCTCCAGCCATGTTGATAATTACCTGGGACAGATGGGTCAATAGGAAAGGGGCAGCTTTTGAGAAGCTATTCAGCTCCTCAGCTGCAGTAACAGCTCTGTGCTGCAACCCACGAAGTCCTCTAGAACCCCAAACCAGAGTCTGCAGGTACAATGGGCTGGTGCCACTGCTGGGTCCAGAAAAGTCCCTCACGTTTCAATATAGGGCCTTAACCTTGACAAGCTTCAGTTCTCATATCTGTAAAATGAGCATAACGAACCTGACCTCCCAAGGTTACAGGGCCATGATGGAAGCAAGTGAGCCTTGCAAACCGTACTGCATTTCCCAGTGATTACTTATATATTTACATTTAATAAATATATAAGTAATTACTTATATATTTATATTTAGTAACCTCTTCAATACCCAATTTGGTGCAGTTTACCAGCAAATGGTAAAGTTGTTTCTTGTGAGCTTTATGTGGAAATGGACCTCAGCTGATACACAGCGTATTTTGCTTGACAGCTCATTTTCTATTTACCATTTGTCATCTCCCCCCAAAACCCCACACTCCATCCTCCAGGCACATGAGGTCATGGGCTCCCTTGAATCAGCATTTCTGGCTCCACACCACACAAACACACATGTATGTGCTGAGCCTAGGTTATCTGTATGCAGAATATATGAAGCCATAGACACGGACACAGCCTGTGGGAATAAGATTTGGCAATCCTGGGCTCTTTTGCCACCTGAACATGACTTTCGGAGACAAGGAGAGGGCAGTTACTCATAGCATGTGGACAAACACTGTGTCAGTTCCAGTTGTGAGGGTGTCATCACACCAGCTATGAACAAAAATTGTCTTTCCCCTAATGTTAGATTTCAAGCAGAATCACAAGTTCAAACCCTGCCCAGAAGTTTCAAAAGAATTATGCAATAAGGGGTTTTCCCCCTTCACTGCTAAAGCCTGATGCTTCTGTGTTGCTCTTACAGAAAAGACAGATTCACATCTGGCTCTGATTAGTGGACTAGTGCATCTGCTCAAACTACACTAGCTGCTGCATATAAGAGGACTGGGTGTTCTTTGGGTAGGAGATGTGTGGATAATTGAAAATTCAAACAAAGAACTGGGCACTCTTTTCAAAAGAGAACAGAAGGAAGAACTGGAAGCTTGGGAGAGGCCCTGGGTAGTATTTATACTGACAAACGCGGTGTGGTGATCATGGCAAGAGAGCAACTCAAGAACCAGAAGGCCTGGGTTTGAGTTCTGGTTCAGTTAAGTATCAGCTTTGTCACTGAACTCTGTTCCTGTCCTGGGCTCCATAGGAGGAGGAGCTGGGACACAGGGTGGGCTAAAGACATTTTGTTTGCTTCTTCCCCACTGTGTGGAAAGCTGGGAGACAGGCCACATGTTCCTCTTCTCTTCATGATCTCAGTTTGGACTACGTTAAGTAAAATGAACTTTAAAGAAAAGCTGAGGTAAAATATACACTTAAAAAAGGTTTGGAATTGGAGGGGAACATGGAAAAGGACAAAGACAGAATGAAGAATGGCAGAAGGACTTTGAGAATAGCCATTTCACCCTATGTGAATGAACTATCATGCTTTAAATTGTTTTGCTTTAAATAAAAAAATCCTGCATCTTAACTACATGGAAGGTAAGATTGGGAGTGTGGACACTGGAATAAAGAGGAGAAAGGAAAATTTCCCCTACCTGTCTCCTCCCCATCTCCCTGCTCCAGTCCCAACATCTTGTTCTGGGTGAGCTTATCTGCTTTCTAGAACAGTTCTCAAGGTGAGGTCTAGAGACAACTGCAAGGCTCTGACACACTTTCAGGATGATCCTCAAAGTCAGAATGATTTTAAAAATAATATTAATACATGGTTGCCTTTTGTGTGCGTGTGTGTGTGTGAAAATTTGCACTGGAGAGACAAAGGTGGGCAAGACTACTGAGGCCTGGGCACTTAACTGTCCCAGTAGTCACTACCTTCTTCACCACCATGCACTTGCAGGGAAAAATAAAAGTTTAATCCAAAAACATCCTTGATAAGCAGTAAAAATTATTTTTATTAATGAGTGAATACACATCTTTTTCATTTCTGGGTGATAAAATAGAAAGTACACATAAAGAGCTTCTGTTGCACACTCAAGTAGATTGGTCATCCTACAATGTGCAGTTGTGTGTTTAAGTTGCAAGCTAAACTAACCACTTTAGTCATGAACTCCATTTTTACTAGAAAGAGCAACTGACAAATTATGTTTATTCAGACTTGGCTATTTGACAGTTATTTCTCAAAAAGTAAATGAAATGAGCCTATCATATCAAAGAAAACAACTTAAAACATTTGTTGTCAATAATAAAATTTGAGATTTCAGGTGAAAATTTGAATTTTTGAAACTTTTTATCTGCCTCTCTGGGCTTGATAGCTTCCCAGTCCCTTTTCTGGTGGAATTGGTGATAGTAGTAACCAATGTGATACTCTGGTATTGCATGTTAAATGTGTCAACATAGTGGAGCAATATTTTCCAAATGACTAATGCGTGATGTTGCAAAATCCACCCATGGGTGAAAGATCCATTCAAAGTACAAGACAGACCAATTGAATTTATTATAACCATAGTAAAGTTTATTGATGTGATTTCATATTCCAACTGCAATTAACCTTTAAGAAACTGCCACTTATCAGTTTTGTTGTAATACAAAACAGTATCAACAATGATTTGAAACAGCTATTAAGTAATCCTTTTCGGACTACATATTTGTGTGAGGCCTGATTTTCTTAAAATAGATCACAACAGACTATGTGCAGAGCAAGTATAAGAATACAGCTCTCTCCTATTAAACCAGACATCAAAAAGATCTGAAAACATGTAAGCAATGCCATTCTCAGCTTTTTTGGAAATTAGCTATTTTTTCATAAAAATGTTAATATGCAATTTCATTTTTTAAATGAATCATTATTTTTAAATGTTTTAACTTTAAATATGATAAACATTGGTGACCAGTGGAGTGGTGATAAATGTTTAACAAGCAGCTCCCTGAGGAGGGTGGGGAGCAGAGAATGGGGGAACCCCTGGCATGTAGTGTGTTTGTTGACTTCCATGGTGTAAGTACCCTCATCACACCAAGTTCAAGCTACCAGTATGTCACTGACTCGAAGCTGGGAAGAGATGTGCACCATCAGTGTTTGCTAGCCTGTGGGGAGCTCCAGCACACATTGACAGAATCTACCCATGTTTCTTGGTGTCCTCACTAATTTTGAGGAGTGGAACCAGTTTGATAACAGGTGTCCTAGGACCATCACCCTCACGGCGGGTAAATCACCTCAGCAACATTAGAACTCTGGAATGTGGCCTCAACGACAAAAGTCCTTGAACCTCAAACTTTAATGTTCTTCCCATATATATTCTAAAATCTCTTTTTGCTGGCAAAGACCCTTGCATCTTTCTATTCTAATCCCTTCTTAGATGTGGTTTTCACTTGAACGAACTTTTTGGGAATTCCTTCAGGAAGGGCTCAGGGCCGGTTCCAGCTCCATCAGGACAGCTCAGCGCCTGAAAGCCACCGAGCAGATGATGGATCTGAGCCGAACATCCTCACTCCCTCTCCTCCATGTTGGGTGGGGAGAAAGAATGAGGCCTCTGACAAGGAGGAATTGTATCAACAAAATACTTTATTTGAGGAAGAAAAGACCAAATTAGAAAATTTTTATACTTAAGTTCTGTTCATTACCATGCCAAAGGTTTATAACGGCCTTTAGTTTCCATTAACTACTAGTTTGAACTCCATGCAACTGCCAGCTTTGGTCCATACAAAAGCCAATGCTGGCAATTCCATGGGGTTCAACCCCGTATAAAATAAACCACTGGTGAACATTTCTTTCAGCAGCACGATGTTCTCATTCAAGAGTCTGTTGATGTTATAAACAGATGTCCTAGCGATAAACAGGCCCGTTCGAGAGAAACATCCTGTGCCGACAGACCCGGGGGATGGTCTTGGGTGGGTGCTGAGACCTGAGTCACCCCAGGTCCGGCTTGCCCGTCCCAGCACACCCTGCCACCGCCTGCTGTCCTCTCACACTGCTAGGAAGCATGTCTGATTCGAAACCAACTCGACTTGACCATTTACAAAGTCCGGGAATACATGCTGACCAGGTGCCCCTTTGAAACGACTACAATACAAAAGCCTCCGTTGTGACTGAAACATTTTCTGCATGTGAACTACGCCAAGGCCTTCTCTTTGCCATCTTGTTGGCGCCCTGCCCGCCTCTGGGCATTCTGCATCCAATAACATGAGAAGACAGCCACCTTGTTGTGGAAGCTGAACAGAAAGGAGTAGCGTGGTGCCCAGGCAGCCCTAAGACTCGGCAGGTGAACAAGGATGGGACAAACCATGCTTCATTCATACCAACGGGTTTAATAAAAACTTGCCCTGCTCTCTCCACCTCCCCCCTCTACCCCAACCTCAGCTCTATACAATAGGCTTAGCTTTACATGGAGCTGAGATAAAAATAAAGCTTTCTTACATACAAATTACATTTTTTTCCCAGTGAACTACTATTGCAGTAAAAATAGCTGCTACATAAATCCCTCCTGATCTCTGAAAGGGAGTCGCCTATTACCAAAAATAGCATTCTTATTTTAATCATACAGAATAATTTGCAGTGTGGAGGTGGGGCACGGGAAGGAAATGGTTGCCCAGGGGAGGTCAGTCGTTGGGGAAACATAGCTGAACTAAAAAATAAAGTAAGTTTTGTGTATAAATTGATTTAAAGGCATACATAGAAATGGAAAACATATGCCATTTGTCAAGAAAAATACTGCTTTATAGCTTTTACATTACAGTTGAAGGAGAAAGCAGAGGCCAGATGTGCCCCCAGATAATAACATTAAGATTTTTATAAAAATTCCCAAATGTACAGAGTCCTTGCCAGATAATAACCCAGGCAAAACAAAAGACAAAACATAACAAAACCAGGGATTAATCCTCTTAGAACTTACTCCTGTTGGCATATTAAATGCAAATGAACATACGTCACAACTTCACTTAGCCGGCCCTAGGCAAATGACACATTTGCAAAATGCCTTATGTGCTCTTGAAAACTGGAATAAACATTGAATGTCTGCGTTCTTATTTCACAGAGTTATATAATTACTTTAAATTATAATATACAATTTCTGTTAAATAGGACTTAGAGAATTTCAGTAACAATTAAGATTACAATCCTATATACAAACTAATGTCAGAAATGGCACAATTGTCTCCTTGCAACCTCCAGCCCCTCTGAACCAATGAGCTGCTTTTGTACTCGGGATTCCTGGTTGAAAAGGCAAAAGAAAATCAAAAAACCTGTGAGTCCACAACATGGTCGCTCCTTTGAGAATATCCAACAGTCGGAACATGCCTGTCACACGGACCACTTGGAGCCACGTGTCTCCCTGGCCCTTCTTTGTCGGCCATTCTAAGGTAACAGCATCATAAATAGCGTTTTCCTGTCAGCAGGCTTCAGGAGCAAGAAACGGTGCTGCTCTTGGTGAAGAACCACAGGTTCAGATGAAATAAGGCCACTGCTTCTTGGCGGCTTTCCTGGACGTGCTCAATCCCACCCTCCAGGGTCCTTGGAACAGTCAGTCAGACGGCCCCCTCTCGGCCCTATGGGGGCCTCAGTCCTCCGTGTCCGGCTGGACGCCCAGGATGGCGTGCAGCTCCTCGGGAGTGAACCCCAGCAAGTTCTGCAGGTCGCACACGAAGCGGTACACGTAGCGCTTCCCTGACGTCTTGTGGATGATGTTCTTGTCGTAGTAATAGCGTAAGCCCCGGCTCAGCTTCTCATAGTTCATCTTGGGCTTGTTTTTCCTCTTTCCCCACCGGCGGGCCACCTGTGGCAGACACGGATGGAGCAGAGCTCAACTCAATGGGATAAGGAGGCGATGTGAATGAGCTGCTCCAGGGAGAACAGACCCCGCAGCAGGGACACAGGTGCAATATCTTCCTTTGTGTGCCAGAAGCCGCAACCCTTGGGTGCTTCTCTGAGGCTGGGGTTGCAGATGCGGGAGTGAGGTGCTCCACTCCCAGCTTAGTCTGGTACAGGGTGCCCAAGGCCTCTCGCTAGGCAGAACTTCCCGGGAGCCCAGGGCTGGGGATCAGGAGATCCCGACACGAGGGAAGTACTGTGTCTCTTCCTGGGGTTCCCATTCCACCCACCCCAGTGTGCAGTTGCTGAGTGGGATTCTGAGCCATGTGACGTCACCCATTCCCCAATGCTCTACTTCCCAAGGGAATCAGGGAGGTGACAGATGGCACCCTTCCGGGGCCAGAGACCAAAAGCTTCTCTAATGCTTGCCCTCAGCCTTCTCCTCTGGCCAGGGCTGCAGCGAAGCCCACTGGCGGGCCAGCATGGAGCTACCAGATGCTCATTCCCTGCTGTGGGAAAGGCAAATTTCCTAAGGCCTTCTCACATGGTCAGGAGAGAGCCTCAGTGTACTGCTGGCCCCTTTTTATTAGATGACAGAGCAGGACGGTGGAACCCGCCCAGTGCCGCTGTGCACAACCAGAGGACACATCAGAAGCCCACTGGCGGGCCAGCATGGAGCTACCAGATGCTCATTCCCTGCTGTGGGAAAGGCAAATTTCCTAAGGCCTTCTCACATGGTCAGGAGAGAGCCTCAGTGTACTGCTGGCCCCTTTTTATTAGATGACAGAGCAGGACGGTGGAACCCGCCCAGTGCCGCTGTGCACAACCAGAGGACACATCAGTATCAAGGAAGCAAGGACTCCTGGATTCCTGACAGTCAGGAAAGCCATGTGCAGAAGTGTTCTCATTTGTGCTGGTGAACCCTCTCTTGTGCCCAGAGCATTGAATTTGTGAGCCCAAAGCGATGAAATCAGGTTTCAGAGCCCAGAGACTGACTTCCCAGGCCTGGCCATACCTCATCGGGGTCAGCGAGCTTAAACTCCCATCCGTCCCCGGTCCAGCTGATGAATGGCTGGCAGGATTTGTCGGAGAGCAATTCCAGGAGAAACTGCCACAGCTGAATAGGTCCACTGCCTGGGTAGAGGGGTGGATTACATTGTGGTGGATTTAAAATACGGCCTGAGGAAGGTGAGCCCCAACCCTAGACTGGCACGGCCGCGAGGTACACGCAGCTGCTGGCGGCAGGCCTGACACTCAATGGGATGAGGCAAGACACTGACACCGAGGTCTTCCCCACCCCTCCTACTCTTGGAGAAGACGTCACTCAGCCCTTGATTTCTGGGTTTGGTTTTTCTGGAGGAAAAAAACTCAGGCCCACAACTTTGGCCTTCAAATACCTCACCCTGCTTAAGTGTTCCTTATGTAATAATTTTCAAGGTTTATTTTCAGGAACCCCCAGTGGGATGGGGTGGGGCAGTGGGAGGGGTGTTGCCCCCCAGAATGAAGCATGTCATTTATGAATCACATCCATAGCTTTCCTGCAAAATGACGGTGAGCAAACTGCTTAATCTAAGACTAGGTCCACTCAACAGCCTTATATGGGCATTTGGGGTCATAGCCACAACTCGCCTCACCACATCTGTTTGGTGAGGTACGCTTTGCAAAGTGCTTCCCGTGTCCCTTTTCTCCATTAATATTAGAACTGCCGCCTTGTGAAGGGAATATCCCCCCATGGTGCTGTTTTAAAGATGAGGACGAAGAGGTGGCTTGGAGGCCAGGCTGCTTGCCCTGGATCTCATGCTCATCAAACAGCTGTTCGCCCGAGATGCAATGGCCTGCTCAGTAAGGCTCTGCTGCTCCAGCACCAAGAACAGGAGGAGTTCTGGAACCAGACAGAACTGAGTTGTGACCAGGGCTGTCTACCTCTGAGCCGATTCCCCATTTGTAAAATGGGTTAATATCACCACCTGTGTGTGCTGGGCTGTCCTGACGACTGTGGACCACGGATATGCCTAGGTAACCACAGAGAGGTGGCAGTGAACAAAAAGGTAACTAATATTGACATGAACAGCACCAACACCATAGCTGTTCATTGTCTTGTCGGGTTCTGACTCCCAGGTACAAAAACCACAACAGTTTTCACACCCTCTATGTGTATTTCAACACAATTCTGTTTGAGATGACAGGGGAAAAAAAGGGTATCTGCATTCTTATTTTAACCTATTGCTTTTAAAAAGTAGTTTCTTTTTCAATCCAGTGGCTCCATATGGTCAAAATATGAAAAAAAGCATATTTAAGGACACATGAAGCAATGAAAAAAATCTCAGTATTTTTGCCAAAGTACTGGATTCTAAAAACAGCTTTAATATTTGTCCCTTGCCTAGAATAGCCTTTGCCCAAATCTTAAAAATAAGATGGGTTTTGGAAGCAAGAAAAGGTAAACAGTCCCGGTGTTATTTAAGGCCGGCCCTGCCGCTCCTCCGTGAGCCAGCCCACATTCTTTGAAATTCCTGGAGTGGTGAGTCAGAGCCAGAGCCTCCACAGGCCAGGCGCCCTGCTCCCCCTCCTCTCCAGGATGGCCAGGCACATCCCAGCTGTGGGAGCAGCCGGTGGGACTTTCATCTGCACCCCCGAGCTCCATACAAACTTCCTGCAAGGTCAGCCTCTTTAGAATTCAGGGACACAACTCTCTTGGATCCCAGATTACACCCCATGCGTAAGATGTGGGGTCTAATGCAATGTGTTCAGACCAGACCCACCCTTGATGGAAGCACTGAAGCTAGGCAGGGTGCAGGGCGGAGATGGGGAGAATGGGCACTGCAAGCTCACCTGTGAAGCCGGCTAGCACGGCCGCAGGTATAACTGGTTTGCCTTGCTCCACCGGGTCGCTCCTCTCTTGGATGTAATCCTTGAACGACATGGTTGGCTTGCTGAGGCAGAGCGACTGGCTGCAGTCATCTTCGAAGCTCTCAAAGGAAGGCACCCGCTGTACATCCAGCAGCGATGACTGGCTGTTCCAGGACTGCAGCAGCGACTCGGAGCTCTCAAAGCTGTCTGCGCCATTCTCAGGGGGGTCGTGGTCTCTGGGCTTCCCTGCAGACAACCAGGAACAAACTTTGACTCCTGTGGGCCAACGAAATGCCCAGTGCTACTGAGTCCTAAGTAACTGCAGAGTGATCCTAGGCTTGAACATAGCATCAAGGCCAACCACCCCCATTCAGCCACATACCCTTCTGGGCTGAATTACATGGAGCTTTCTCAGCACTCTTAAGCATCACTTCTTATGTTAACTCTAGTATACAACTAAATCAAATGGAGCCTCATGGAATGGAGTACTATACAACAATGAAAAACGACAAATGGCTAGATTCCAGACATAACGATAGGCAAAAGAAACGCAAAAGAACACATATGGTATGATTCCATTTATATCATCATTCAAGAACAGGAAAACCTAATCTACGATGATCACAATCAAGACAGTAGTGTCTCTTAGGGACAAGATGCTATTGACTGGGGAGAGGTATGAGGGAACCATCTCTATCTCCAGCTGTGTGGCTATTATCTAGGTGATATATATTAAAATCCAACCAGTTGTGCAACCTGAGATTTGGGCACTGCATATGTACAGCTCCGTAAAAAGAAATGTGTCACATTCTTACATTCTCTCCCAAGTATAGAAATGCCATATGCTTACAATCTCTCCCCATATATACCATTGGTTGGAGGAATCTAGCCCCAAGAGCAGGGACCGTGTCTTGTTTACTTGGTACCCTCAGCGTGCAGACCAGAGCCTGAGCTTGCTGAGTGAATCCATCACTTGCAACAGTGACCTACAGTCACTGAGAACACAGAGGCGTCCTCTGACCAGCTTCAATGGCTGAACACAGGACACGCTCATCGAAAAGCTCATGTCACTGTCTGACAGTGGCTCCCAGGATCAAACCACCAGTCCTACTGAGAGGAGTACTCAGAAGCTCCGATCTTACCAGGACCATTGGTGAGCAGGTTCAAGTTGCTGCCTGCGAAGTCCTGGCTGACGGGGCAGTAGTTGACACTGACAGTGTTGAGTCGTGACTTGGAGAGCATCTGAAAATCCGGCTCCGAGCTGAGCACACTGGGCGCAGAGGATGCTGGGCACACGTCCAGGAGACTGCCTTTGCTGTAGTTCTGGGTCTGCATTCCATAAGGCGCCTGTTCCACACCAAAACCTGGAACAGAACCATCGGATGGCAGAGCTATTAAGCTATAGTAGTGTGTAATTAGAGACCCTCTCTGCCCTGCAACCAAATCAAACATGGAAAGTTCTGCATGCCCCAGCCCACCCCAAAACCTCAGTGGAAATGTGGGCTTTGGAAGGTAGGTCTCCCACTAACTGTTCTTCTCAAACCATTCATGTTCTCAGCCAATAAGCTCTTTTCCAAAATGCCTGCTGCCTCTGGGCCCAAGACACAATGCCTCAATGTCAGTATAGTTGACCCTTGAACAAAACAGGTCTGAACTATGCAGAGTCCACTTATAAGTGGATTTTTAAAAATAAATATATTGGACACCTTTTAGAGATTTGCAACAATTTGAGAAAACATTTTCTTTTTGCTAGCTTACTTTATTGTGAGAATTATATATAGTATATAATACATACAACATACAATCTATGTGTAATTGACTATTTATGTTATCAGTAAGGCTTCCAGTCAACAGTAGGCTATTTGTAGTAAGTTTTTGGGGGAGTCAAAAGTTATATCTGGATTTTCAACTGTGCAGGAGTCAGGTGCCCCTAATTGTGCTCTGGTCAATGCACAGATAGGACAAGCCACTTGTGCAATTCACTCAAGGGTCAACTGTGCTTCCATTGGTCTAGTTTATCCAGTGCATTCACATGACCCTCAGGTGACAGTGTTCACTGGCTCGTTCAGCTTTCAAGCAAACCAAGGCTCAGAAAGACTGGGATTTGCTACCCGGTGTGTGACTCATAAGGGAAGAGCCACAGTACCCTCCCACCCATGCTGGCTAGGGGGAACACCCATAATCTATGCTTGCCAGTGTCAGCCAGACAATTCCTCAAACTCCAAAGTTCACAGCAAGCTGAGTATTGCTTTCCACATACTCCTGGGCCAGCCCTTCTACCCCTTTTTTTGTGCTAGATCAGCTTACTCCATTCCACCCCCTGCTCCATGAATAGCCTGCACGAGCTCTGGCCAATGCACAGATAGTACAAGCCACTTGTGCAACGTTAGATTTTCTGGCTGCCATGTTAAAAAACTAAAAAGAGGTGAAAGTAATTTTAGTATTTTATTTGACCTAATACTAACCATTATCATTTCAACACATAATCAATGCTTTACAAATTATTAAGGAGATATTTTACATTCTTTGTTTCATACTAAGATTTTCTAATCTGGTGTGCATTATATTCTCACCGCACGTTTCAGTGTGGACCAGCCCCATTTCAAGTGCTCAGTAAGTCAACAGCCCATATGGCCACCATAGGGGACACCTCAGGTCTAACTGTGCCTTCAGACCTTCCATTAGGGAGTCCAAATCTAACAAGAAAACTTAAAACCGAACTCTAAAGGGCAGAATCAATTGGACTGACCTAATGTATTGCTATTAATCCAGTGAGGAACTGAGTTGAGGTATGAATTTTCTTCATACTGATCTTCTGTCCTTTCTTGGTTTTCTAAAAAATAGACAAAAGAGACATACGATTGCAAACAGAGGTTAAAACTATGCAAGAAGTTACTTTCTGACGTACTGTTATATGGTTATTCTGGAATACCTAAACGCATTTAGTGCCTCCCATTTAGTCCAACGGTATCCCACGTCATTAGCTCTTTGTAGAAAAACTAGAGATAGCAGAATGTTTTTCCAATAACTAGAAAAAGTTTTCCAAAGTGAACACTGTCACCGGCAAAGCTAAAATGTTCTAAAGCCTGAATGGAATCATCTAGACTGTGTAATTAGTTCATCCATGCAGTCAACAAATAGGTAAACACTTACGAAATACCACCTACATCAGGGGCTGGGAATACAGCGGATTAAGAAAATGGACAAAGTTCCTGCCCTGGGAAGGCTATGGTCCATCGCTCCGAACCCTGAAGCTTCTCCAGGGTGAGTGCCTGCAAAGGGAGGTCTGCAGTGGTGGGAGTCAGTGAGGGCCACCCATGGCCAGAACTTGGAAAGGGAAAAAATGGTTGGGTTTCCCTGTGTAGCTTACTTCCTACAAACACACTTAACCACACACACACCCACAAACCCAGACCCACACACTCACACCCCGAGTAATGGCAAAGAGGCCCAAATTGCCAGTGAACAGATTCACCAGAAGCCTGTCAGGTCAGACCAGACCAAGTTCAGGGAAAATTGGGGGTCTAGGTTTGCCTGGTCCTCAGAAGCCATAACTACCAAGAGCTGGTGGGTAAATCCTAAGGTCTTTTGAAGATTTCCAAGTCCATAACAGAAGAAGTCGAAACATAGTATTTAAAATCAATTAAATAGGAATATTTCTCTGGACCCTATGGACAGGTTAATTTTCTTGTATTTTTAACTTGATTTCCTCCGTATAGTTTTTCTTCTTTTTTGACTCATTGTGTTTTTAACATTGGTTTCAATGCTCTTTTAAGGTCTAAATAAAGACTTTCTACATGATTAGAGTTCTTTTGCTCAGCAGCTTGTTTCTGTATAACATGTCAGTGGGTAAATATGTATCAATTAATTCTGCACTTTTAAACACGTGAAACATGAAATAACATTCTCTCTGTTGGATTCCATTTGGTCTTAGGAAAATTCACTGTTTGCCAGGGCTGGTCCAAGTAAAGGCTCCCTTTCCTTGGGGGTGAATTTACTCCTTTCGCTTCTATAAGGTGAGCCTCAAATCATGGTGATCCTTGCTGCCTCCACATCTGAGCCAACACGTCCTCCTCTGACAGTGGCTGCCTGAAAACAGGGACCAAGTCAGTGACTCAGGCGCCTGCCTTGTGGCTATACTCCATGCCATACACACACATACTTAAGTGGACTCAGAATCTATAATCACCGCCACACACCTGACTCACTCTGGCGGCATTTTCAGGCACTTTGCTCTCTGTCACTTGGGACACTGACCCTGGGGTTTACAGCACTGCCCCCGCTTCCCTGCTCTGCCCTGCAAGGGGGGGGCCCAGGGGCTCAGCTGGTACCTTTGATCATCTGCTCCAGATGCTCCCAGAGAATGTCGCCCACAAAGTCAGGTGCCAGCTCCAGGAAACGCTCCTTGCCCAGGTTGCACAACACCTGGCCATTCATGCCGAACCTCTGGAGGTTCACGTTCACCAGACTGAACTCGTTGGTAGCCCAGAGAAGCCACTGGCACACTTGTTGCTCGGTCCACAGCCATGGGTCTACCGGGGAGGGAAGAAGACAGAACACACAAGAACACACAAGAGAACAGATGGAAGAAGGTGGTAAGACCAAGGTCAGCCCGATGCAGCCATACGGCCTACCAAAGGTCCATGGATCGAGCGAGTGCCGTGCAATATCACTTCCAAGACACTGACAACAGTGCTGGGATCGGTGCTCAGCTGACAGGGTGGAAATAAAGTGGCTCAGGTGAACCACGTCTCTGCCACTCTTTGCAAGACGCCCATGACCATGCTTAAGAACTAAGTCATCTCAAGCAACTGCCATCCAGTTCATATGCCTCCTACAACACACACTCAGGAGAGCAGGTCTAAAGAGCAGGACTTACTCTTTGGAATGCCGAGGCGGCGCTGCTCCTTTTTGAAGCCACTGAAGGTAGCTTTCAAGGCTTGACTCATCACAGCCTTGCTGCATGGAGTTAACAGAGGCAATTCACAGTTGGTGGAATCTAGAAAGAAATCCCCAGGGGACATTAGGATGTCAAGCTGGCAACAGCAGATGGAAGAAACCTTAGTTTTCAGGGAAGGTCAGTTTTGATCCCAAACTTTGGCATCATGCCTCAAAAGAGTACAAATATTAAGAAAAACGTTTTTTTGTGGGTTTTTTTTGCCTGAAATTAAGAAAACATTACATATCTCCTAACTACACTTACTAAAAATTTAAAAATAAAACTCAAGCTATTTTTTTGTTTTGCAAAACTTCGTAAAGCAGTTATGCCTAGGTAAAATTTCCAAGTCTATTTAAAAATTTTACACAGTGCAAGAAATCGCATAGCTTCTGGTCAAAAGGGTTAAGGGATCATAAATGCATAACTTGGAAGTTACTCCCATTAAAATCAGCAGAGCATCATATGAACACACAGCACTGAGCAGTAGTACAGTCGGCACACCTTCAGTTTTTATCGAGAAACAATCTTTGGCTTCCCTCAGCAATTTCAAGAATGATAAATGACGAGCACATGATGGTGTGCTTATGAAAGCGTGTGTCTAATTAATTTTCTGGGTTGTATTTTCCAGCACCTACTTCATATGACAAAGCAATCTCTGGAATGTTTCCAACCAAGAACACTATCACAGCAATTGCAGAGGCTTTATCTGACATGCTCTTCTTTTAAAAAGAAACATGACATTAGGCCGTCCAGAAGTAAATACAGATCAGTAAAGATGAGCAAGAATAATCCGCTGCTCCAAAACTCCAGGGGTGGATGATCTAACTAACCCTGTGAACCCAGAATGAAAAGATGGGGTGCATTTTCATGGGCACTGGTCTGGCTTTGCAGAATGGACCTGGGACATGGGGTCTAGGCTTGCTGCAGGGTTGGAAGCCTCGTAAAGGAAATCTCAGGGGTTTCCCTGCCGTTTGCTAACCAGCAGGGCATTTGCTCTCACTGGGGTGCGTCTGGCAAGGGAAGACTTCAGAACTGTCATGCTCATAAAAATGCAAAACTGTCTCCTCCAGGTCCAGAGCCTCTATCTGACTCTCAAGATTCAAGATACCAACATTACCTATGAACTGTCATTTCTTTATTAACTGAACTGGGTAGGGAAAACATGCACAATTTGTCAAGTCTGAGTAACAAATTACCGTGACAAATTGAATCCAAGCCTGTTGGCACTTCTTGGAGTGTTTGTTCTTCATTTAGTGAGGGGAAAGCAGCAAATAGGGACCCATCAAAGGTGTCAAAGGCTGGCTGGCGCTGCAAAAACAGATGGAAAGAATACTGAAATGTAATACTTAACTTTAATTCCTATTTTGAAAGTGGTCTGTGGGTAGTCTTACCAATCTACCTGGATTAAACTGGCAACTAAAAAGCCACATATGGAATTGAGCAGTCAGTACTCCAAATGGGCCTCTAAAAAGGACCACTGAATCAACCCTGCAGAGTCAGAATGACTGGGAATTTATTTATTTAAAAATTTTTTTGTATCATTAATATACAATTACATGAACAACACTGTGGTTACTAGATTCCCCCCATTAACAAGTCCCCACCACATTCCCCTTTACAGTCACTGTCCATCAGTGTAGTAAGATGCTATAGAGTCACTACTTGTCTTTTCTGTGTTATACTGCCTTCCCTGTGCTGCCCCCCTACATTATGGGAATTTATTTTTAATAGCTTAATCAATTAATCAGTAAACATAATAGAACCTTAAAAGAACAGTGCTGGGAGAGACCTCAGAGACTGACTGGTCCAAACACCTGGCCCTTCGGCTACAGCAGAGAGAAATTCAGTCAGGCTGTGTGTGTAAGAAAAATGACCCTTGGCAAGGCAGTGTGAGAACTCAAAGCAGTAAAAAACTAAAGGCAAATGACTGAATGAAAACTGAACATCAAACAATGAAATAAGTTACTGTATCTGTGAAGCATTTATTTTTAAATGTTAACAAAGAAAACACTTTAGCTGAAACTAAATCACTTCCTCATCAATTCCAATGGTTCAGATAATACTAATACATGTGAGAAAATTCCTTAAAGTTTAATTTTATAAAAGTAACTGTATTAAAAAGAACTTCCCTCACCCCAATTGCCTAGTAAGTGGAACAATTTCCAAAGGAAATAGGTTTAAAGTTAAACAGCTTATGTGAAAGAAGAGGACAGATAAACAGAGAAAGATAAATCTGGCACTGTGTTGATTTCTGATAATCTCAACTAACATTTATGAAAGAAATAGCCCATTGTGTAAGACTCGTTCATTAGTAACAGATAAAGTCTTGATTCATCATTGCTTAACTCATTGAGGAAAACGTGAAGGCAGGCTCTATTTTTCCAATATAAACTGGAAATCCCATGTTATGTGTCATACAGTGACCCATCTGTTGAGTCATCAATAAAAGAAATGTGTAACACATTTACAAATAAAATTGGTTTGTGTGCTTGCTTTTTAGAAATGCAGAACAATGACGCATTACATAAGAGGGCAGGCAGAAGTTGGAGCTCAGCCAGAACCCTCAACACAATGAGTCCCCATGATGTTGCAGAGCCGTCCCCAAACCTAAGGCAATGAGAATCCGGCTACTCAACACCTCCAAGGGGAAAACCAGTCCAGCAAGTGGGAAACACTCAGTCATATTTCCAGACTATTTTATAGCTGTTATAATTTAGGTGAAATATCCAGATTTTAAAATTCCCACTAGCATTGCCCAGGTCATTAAGAAATGCCTTTCCTTTCCTGATTGTAAGTTCTTTTTTTAAAAATCAGGAAGCCAAAAGACATACCAGTTCGCATTATGAATTTCAACACGTCAGTTTCAGCAATGACTGCTTCTTCTCCGAACCCAGACATTACATGCGCTTCATCAAATTCTTTTAATTTATGAAATAATTTTTCTTGCTAGGGGGTGTGGTTTCAAACTGAACCCCCGAATTTCCTGTAGTTTCTGCCACGCTGAAAACCTCTGACAATTAAACCAGAAAACTCCTTAGCTTGAAATCTGATGACTGTCTTAATACTCAAGAAAGAACCTATACCAACTGTGGGCACTTGGGTTCTCTCTGACAGCCAGCCTTGTAATGATAGACGTGGGAAAATAGAACACGCCAGAGATACATCATTACACAAACACTAAGCCGGGAGGAGGCAAATCTGAAGTCCCGGCTTCTGAAGTGTGTTTACTACACAATGCTCAAAACAATCCAATCTCCATGTCACATTCAAAGCAGGCAAATGGAAAATTATCAGTCTGTGCTACTCAAGAATGTTCCCAAAAGGAATTAAGATAGAAGCTACATGAAATTTGTTTATTATGCAGCAGAAAGGCTCTTTCATCTTTAATTTGTTTTTTGGTTTACATCAACAGGCGTGGCTGTGCACTGTGTCAGTGAGAACAGGTGGCCTATGACACCGTGGGCACTGGCCCTTCTGATGGAAGCTGCAACAGCAGTTGGCCTGCCAGCCACTTCTCAGCTCTTTCCCCTCACCCAAGATAACTTCCTGGGTGGATAGAAAAGCAGCAGAGACGGCCTCTCCGGCTCTATTCTCTTGAGAATCCTAGGATTTTTCACCTGATAGGTATCTCAGAAATGAACCACAAAGGCCTCACCTTCTGCAAATTAAATGGTTTCATATCATGGAGGACAAGCACCAGGATATCCATGTTATAGACTAGAAAACTGAGGTCCGGAGACAGCCATAAAGAGCCCAGAGTCACACAGCCTGTAAATTAAAAAGCCAGGACTAGAACCTGTCCTTTGAGACCCAACACACTGTTTTTATCTCCTAGAGATTAAGTTTGCCAATTTTAAATTAAGACTTGCTCACTCACCTTGAGTGTCCCTCTGTAACTGTTAGACACAGGGGCCACCTGGTCCATGTTCTTGATTCCAAAATCATTCATCTTTTAAAAAAAGAAAAACGAAAGAGTCTAAGACATAACAAATTAAGTATAGTTTTGAGAAGTCTTCATTGGGCTGCACCTGACTGGGTCTGCCAGGTTCTAGGGCATAAAAGGCCTTTCAAAACTGAATGCCAGGAATTCTTATTTAAAAGGCCCTTCTCACTACATAAGGAATTAAATAATGCTGATTCTCCACTCAATTCCACTTAGACAAGAGACACATAAATAAAGTTACTTTCTGACTGGCAGGTCAGAGCCTCCCACGGGAGCCCCGCTGGGTGAGCAGAGCAAGGGGACAGTGTCTCTCCAGGGCAGGAGTGGGAGGGACTGCTGTGCACTGCCATTTCCACGGTCAGCTCGGGGTGCTGGCTGAGGGGTTCTGGGGAGACCATGGGCCACTTCAGCTGCACGAGAGCAGCCAGCTCACTCACCCTGGGAGCATAAAGCAAGCTACAGGGCGGCCTGCACCTGGCAGCTCTCGATTGAGGCTCGGAGGCCCCTCTTCTCGGCAAGCTCGGAGGACGCACACACCCAGGAAGAGAGAACGAGAGAGCCCTGCTTCAATCAAGCCCTCATGCACTGCCCAGAGCCTCCTGCGTGGAGTACACAAGCTCAAAGTATGTCTGCTTTACTTGTTGCATGGCTGTGCATTTCGACGGGCAGTCATGCTGATCACTGACCTGCCTCGCTTGCTTGGGTAAAGCAGGCTTATCCTACACCTGCGCTGACTGGTGTGGTGGCCACCAGCCGCGTCTGGCTACTGAGTGCTGGGCACATGGCTAGGGCAGACTGAGAAGGGCTCCGAATGTAACACACACACAGGATTTCCAAGATTTGTAGAAAAAGGTATGTAATATTTTGATATATTCATTTAATTGAAATACACTGAAATTAAATTCACTTATTTTACTATTCTTAATATGGCTATTAGAAAATTTGTAGTTACATACATAGCTTGCAATTGGACCAGTGCTATAGTAGATTCAAAACTTATTTGGGGCTCTAAAATAAATTGTTCAACCAGGTAAGTGATATGTTAGTGTGTGAGAAAGGTGTTTAGATAATGCCATCAGTGTTAGAGAAAAAAACAGAGCAACTAAAACTCATTTTCAAATAACCTGAGTTAGCACTCAGGAGACTAATAACCCTCATCCCAGAGGCTACTCCGCAGCCTTCCGGCTTGCCGGCCAGGGACTGAAGGTTTGTAAGGACATTTTACGGGGTACCCCTAATTGCCCAGCCCTGTGGTCTCTACTGGGTGCTCACTCCCACCTGTTACAACAAAGAACTTTCGAGTAATTAAAATATTGTGCAATTTCTAGGACTTGCTGGAGGTGGCAAACAGCACGTTTTCCCATAACTACTTAATTCGAGTTTGTGCTTCCTTGCTTTCTCTTTATGATCAACATTATGGCTGAACCAGACCTCACACACACACACATACACACATAACACACGCCCTTGGCTGGGAGGCAGCGTGGGAGGAGAGAGTCTGGCCGCAGGGGAAGCAAGAGGCTCTGGAGAGGGCTGTTAAACCCTGAGAGGGTGGGAAATTGTCCTGGTGGCCAGAGGAAGCTGGAAAGCGCTGACAGTAAGAATCTCCACTTGGTGGACCATGTCATCCACATGCACTCAGAACCAGTATTCGCCTCCAATGACAGCCACACTGAGAGAACCCTTCTCACTAAGAGCTGTGTCCAAGCTGGGGACCCTGCATTCCACTTCCTTGAAGCTGCCTGACACCAGATTGGTAGATCTTACACGGCCCTAAGTGAGGCCGACGTCTAGTGACTTGCCCAGGACCACGCAGCTCCTGCAGGGGCTACTGAGGGACAAGCCCCAGTTGAGTACAGCCCCTAATCCTGAGCTCCTCTGTGAGCCAGGATAATGTGTGCCCAAAGGATGAGGCATATGGGGCCTTCTCCTACCACATCACTACAGAGCAGCCAGAGAGGAGGATACAAGTATTTTTAGACCAGGCTCCTGCTCACTCCTCTTTACCATGTGAAACGCTCCTTTATTTAGAGCTTTACGTCATGGATCTGGACCATCTAGGTCCTGCTATCTGTTGATTAAATAAACAAGCCTGAAACAGATGTGCACAATAAGAAGGTATCTTGACTGCTGTCAATCATTCCTCCTGAGCCTACTAGGACAGCTCTTTCTGTTCATTCAACTTGCAGACGACTTGCTGACTTTATTCTGCATTTTTCCAGCTTCACAGAGACGGGCAGAGAGTAGATGTGGAAAGCAATGGAGGAGCTTCGCCTGCTCTGTGCATAAATACTGGGAGAAATGGCAGTCCACCACTCCCACATAAAAAGCTGTAATTACTAGGATTCTTTCGTTGTCCAGCTTTTAATTTGTTGGCAAAAACCACATAGAGTCAAAGTGCTCTACCAGTGGTTTCAGGCAGACATATAACTAATGAAATTTAAGTTCATTTATTTCATTCCGTATGGCTTGTTAAGGTGACAGCCAGGCCAAGATTCTCCACATAAATCCATTTCAAATATAAGTCCTGTTGATAGCTGCTTTTGAACAAAAAAAGGAAAAATGGCAGAAACGTATATGCTGAGAATGGTTAAATTTTAAAACGAGGAGAACTTGCCTGACAGCAGGACCCGTCTTGGTACAAGGGGGCCTGAGATCACCGTACAGATTGTACGCAGGTAAATATGAAAACCAGGCCCGCCCCCCAAACAACCCGTATGGCAAACCTTGTGAAGACTGGGTTGCTCTTTTCTTTGAAAGCTTTCAATTCAGCGAGAGGGATGACTAATCCCAGGAATGAGCGTTTGAGTATTTCCCTGCAGGGCGCACGGTGCTAACATTTACTGTCCTGTGATGTTACTCAGAATTTTAATAAACCTTAACTTGGAGATTTATCTCCCCGATCGGTGGCGGTGCGGACAGGCCGAAAGCGCAGAGGCGGGGCCGCTGTCCAGAACGATCACAACCTCTTACCCGAGAATGAAAGTAAATTACCTCTGTCTCCAAAGGGGGCTGCTCGCTCCTTACTTTCTAAGTAAGTGGGACGTCAGCTACTGGCTTAGGCTACTCTGCAACTGAATACAGGCCAATATAAAAAAGGCTTCTGTGCTTAAAAAAACCGAAATCCCCACACGCGCACAAACGCGGTTACGCCTTCATCCAAAATGCTTAAGACGAAAAAACAGGCAGCTCTGCGCCCCCACACCTCATTTCCGCGGCTGCCCACGCTCCCCCCGCAGGACCCAGGGCCCCGCGCCCGAAGCCCCGGCGCGCTCGCGGGGGGCTCGCCCACTCGCTCCTCGCTCGCCCGCCGCCCGGCCGGGCCCTGACCGCGGTCCGGCCGAGCAGGTGGCCGGGGCCGGCGCGTTTCCGGGAGCCGCGGCCGCGCAGGTGTGCGAGGCGCCGGCGCCCCAGACGCTCCGGGCCCGGCGCCCGGCGGCAGGCCGCCCGCGGAGCGGGTCGCCGGGCCCTCCCTGCAGTCCTGCCGGCGGCGGACGCGGGCAGCAGCCCCCCGGGCCCGCATCTCCTTTTCAAAACAAAAGCTGGAGAACCAGCCGGCGGCCCGGCGACCCGGGGGCCCGAGTTCTCAGCGGCCCCGCCAGGCCCACCGCGCCGCGGCCGGCCCCGCCGCCCCGAAAAACCGGCCGGAGCCGAACTCAGACACGCGACCCCCGAATCCCAGGAGTAGCCGCCGCCCCACCGGGACCCAGGCTGCGCGCGGGGTCCGGACCTCGGGCCACGCACGGCCCCCGTCCGGTCCGGGGTCCCCGGGAGGGCAGCCGGCGCTGGAGGGCGCTGTCCGCGGACCCCGCCACCCCGGACCCCGCCTCCCCGGACCCCGCTCTCACCGCGCCGCTTCGGGCAGGGCCGCCGGTGCTCGGGCCGGGCTCCGCGGGGCGCGCCGGGCACGGGCGAGGCGAAGGCGAGGGCGCCGGCGTGGGCGCAGGTCGGGCGCGGGTCCAGGCAGGGGTCCGGCGGGCTGGGCGCGGGAGGGAGGCTCCGGGCTCGGGGCTGGGGCCACACCGCACTCCGCGCCGCCCAGGAGGAAGTAACCGGCCTGTCCCCTCCGCGGCGCGCTCTTCAGGAGCCGGGGAGGCGGGAGGTGGGGGCGCGAGCGCAGGAGGGGAGGGGCGGGGCGGGGAGGCGGAGGGCCGCGGAGGGCGGGGGCTGGGGGGGAGAAGGGGGCGGGGAGGGAGGAGGGCTGCGGGGCGAGGCCGGCCTTCCCGCAGGCCCTGGCTCCGCCCGCTGTCACCGCTCGGTGGGCCCGCGGTCCCAGCCCCTCCGTGCGCCCTCGAGGCCGACGGCCGTGCGCCCCGGGAGGCCCGGCGGAGAGGTCCCCCCTGGAGCATTCGGAATCCTCCCAGGTCTCGAGGCTTGCACCCCAAATGTGCCTCCCGAATTCGGCAGAAACGGAGTGGTGGCGCTGGTGGCAGCGAGGGGCCAAAGGCTGGGGTAATAAGGGACTCATTCTGGCCCCATTCTTGGACCTCCTCATGGACCTAGGATTTTTTTCATCCTTCTGTCATGAAAAGATGAAATGATAAATGCACGAACTGGGCCCTTTGCTAGGTCACTGAGGCCGCCCTACCGAGAAGCCCCATTCCTTCAGCCTTTGTGTGAGGGGCGCCCCCTAGAGTTGAGCGGTGCCTCGATGGTAACCAGTTTTCTAGCTAATCGTCCTGATGATTCTCCAAGGCATTGTTGTTCCGACTTAAAATATGAGGGCATGGAACCTTAGGGCAAATAGCTTGCCGGGTCATAAAACGGCCAAGTGGGAAACTCAGGATTGAAATTCGAGTTTATCTGACTCCCAGCCACAATAAAAACCATCACCCATACTGCCGGTTTTCATTTCTAGCAGAAAAATGCTTGACTCCGTGGCTAGAAATGTGTGCATTACCTTTTCAGATTCAGATCACATTCTCAATATTTTAGAGGAAAATATAGATTCCTGAAGATGGGTATAAAAAATAAAACAGCCCAGCTTAGGTCATGGGACTGAAAGTTGGTGCATTTCAGGGACTGCAGTGCTGTGAAGGGGAGAGGCACAGCCTCACTTCTGCGTTACTAAGGTTCCTGGTTACCATAGCAACCCCCAAACCCGGAGATATCTGGATAACTGAGATATTGCACCTTAACGTTTCCAGGTACCTGCTGATCTTCAGGCATCAGTACTGCATGGGTCAGAGTCAGGGTGTGCGCATGGCTGAAACACCCAGGTGCAGGGCAGATTGATACTTCCAGTAGACTGAATTGATTCTGATGGCTTCTCAGTGTATATTCAGGTCCAGATCAGAAATCATAGATTGGTTAAGAAGGAATTTCATAAATGGAATACAGGTCCATAGTAAATTACCATGGAGACCTGAGGAGTATGCTAATTTTTTTTTTTAACTATAGCAGAAAATACTGACTCATCTGCGCTGCAGTTTCAGCTAGTAGAGGGTCTTTTCCCCCGGGCTACTCACACAGCTTCTGACAGTGTCTGAGAAGCTTGGTCCCAGTTATTTCGGTCAAGTTCATTGCTCAGGGCAGGACTGCCTTGTGCATTTCACCTGCCCCCATGCCCATAGGTGTTCAGTGTCGATTGTTCCGGGGCCCCCCGAGTCACTGAGGCCCACTGACTTTCAGGAGAGACGTCTGTCCTCCCTGAGGGGCTGGCGCAGTCTAGGGACTGGTAGGGGCACTTTGCTCATGCCCGGCGCTATCCAACACATCTGAGCAAAAAGATGTCAAAAGAAGGAGCACCAGTCTGGACACAGGCCCTTCCTGACAGGCATTTTTCTTCTCGTTAAACTTTGGGCAAGTTCTTTCCTCTGTAGAAGAAAAGTAATTGTGGAGCCTGTGTCATTCAACACAGACCCAGATAGGTAAAGAATATGTTAGAGTGTTGAGTGCAT